ATTCTGAGAAAAAAAGTCAGAACCTGAGATTAAAGTCAGAATTCTGAGAAAAAAGTCAGAATCTGAGATTAAAGTCAGAATTCTGAGAAAAAAAGTCAGATTCTGAGATTAAAGTCAGAATTCTGAGAAAAAAGTCAGAATTCTGAGATTAAAGTCAGAATTCTGACTTTTTTACCATACTAAACTGAAATTTTTTTTTAAATCAGTTAACTTTTTTTTTTTTTTCAGTGGCCCTAATCCTCTTCCGTACATATTAAATTGTGGCAACAGGGGAGAAAAAACTGGGAAGAACAGAAATATAAAAAAAACTGAGGAAAAAGAAACAGTATGTGAAAAAATGTTTATATGAGCCATTAAGTGTTAGTCAGAAAGGGTTGTGTCTGTACTGACCAGAAAAAAAATCCTAACATGGCGTCTTTTACACTTTGAATAAATGCACCCAAACTACAGGTTGTTTCTTTCAGTTCGGTGTCTGTTATGCTGCTGCAGCGTATGATTCATTTATTAATTTTTTTTGTACATATCTTTACCGGGTGCCAGTAAAAGTGGTTATAAATGTTCAGATTTTGAATCAAGAAAACCTTTGTACCTGTTGTCCTCCAGCGTAGTGCTGTATGCTTTTAGAAGAGCTGTGCTGCATGTCTTTAACTCCGTCTGTTTAATATTTGTAATATTTAGCTAGCTTTTTTTTATCTAAATCATTGTATATATGTTTACTGAATGATTACCAGCAGGTACAGACCCTTAACTGTGGCACCAGATCCAGTGTGTGTTTCAGCTGGATGACATGCGTGATCTTTGATTCAGCAGCTTGAACCTGGAAGGGTAACATTTCATTAATGACAAACGAACAAGTAAATGACTGAAAAAGCTCATTTCTATGCAATGTAATTGTAAAAATTTTGTTTGACTCTGAAAACTGTGAAAAATACAAACAAAACAAAAAAACACACTGTTTCCTGCTTTGGGATCTGAATGAGAACGGAGAGCAGCCGATCAATGTCAAGGAAATGACCTATGGCTGAGAGTTTTCAAAGAACACACTGTCAGGTATTATGTGAGTACATTAAAACTGGATGTATGAATAAAAAAAGGAGTATCTCATAAACCATTCTTCAGGCCGAAGAAGAGCTCCTCATTTTGCAGCAGCTCTTGTATGGCGTCCAAGCGAGTGTTTATGGTGTCCACATCAAGCAGAGGCTCCAAAATATTGGAGCGCAGCCTCCTCAGTCCACCTGGCGTTTTTGTATGATTCAGTACTCCTAAAAGAGTATATTCACTTCTGTCCAAAGGCAAACAAAGACAGGTTGAAAGAGCATTCACTTACTCAGCCACTGGATAAAATCCTGCCACAATGTCTCTTACCTGTGGTCCCTGTTGTTGAGCACCAACTCCAAGTTAGCTGCAGATGCTGAGTCAATCATTGCCGTCTGTTCGCTCCCTTTAAATATCACTTTTAGAGACTTGGATGCATAAAATGAGCTCTGGATAAACTCCAGGTATTTCAGCAAAGCAGCAGCAGTTGCTAGGCAATAATACCTAAAACAGCAATGATATAAGGTAGAGAACAAGTGTGGAGTTGCAGTAGATTAACACTGACCATAAGAGGTTAGCATAATCAGCATGAATTTCATATTAGTTTTAAGATTTTCTGATAACTGCTCCCTCCATTAACTGCTCCTCCCCGCCAAAAAAAATCTATGTAAATGTTAGAACTATTATATTTCAATATTTTTATCATCATTCAAAAAGATAAATGACACTTTGCTAACTGTCCTTAACAAGCTGCAGAGAAATTTAGAATCTCATTTTCGGAAGCAACTATTCTAACCCAAAATGTCAGATTTTATTTAAGTTATTTAAATCTTTTGGTTTGCTAGCAGTGGCGCGATTTCTCATTGAATTCCAAGAGTTAATTTTATACAACTTTTACTGTCATTTTTTATATACAGAGTGTATTACAACACGAAATTTCGTTTTGTACAGCTTTCATAGCGTTTCCATTTCCTAAAGTGCAGCAGTGATCAAATGTAAACAGAAAGGAGGAAAAGCATAGTGCAAAAAAACAAAAACGCATTGATATGGAAGTTCAGAGCATTAAAAATGTATGGTGCAAATATGTAGAGTTTTGGATTGGTGTTATCAGTGTAATGTGAAGTCAGTGACATAATTAAGAGTTTTCACAACAGTTCAGCTGTCTAAAGGTGGGGAAGAATCTGCTGGACCTGAATCAAATGCTGCTAAGCCTCTTCCCAGACGCTAAACACCCCATCAATCTTGTAAAACTTTTTGGTATATTGTAATATGCATTGTCAAACTACATAAATGTATTCATTAAACAGCTTTAAATATGCACTAAAATGCACCTGATTTCATGAATATGCTTCTCATTAATCAGCTGTTGAGCTTCGGCCTACTGAGGTAAGCAACGAGAAAGTAGAGCACTGATTGGATAAAACTCCAAAATACTTCACTTCCAGTGAGGCTCAACCTCTTAGGGCTGGTCATGAAGCTGGCTGCACGATGCTGATTGGCAGACATATTTAAGGATTTTTGACTGACAGGGGCCAGACAGCGAGGACGTTTTCCTCATGAGTCCAGAGGGAAAAGTGATCATTTAGTCAGAACAGTCATGTTGTGTTGAACACTCGCCATGGTTTTTGGAGTTTAATATTTCAGAGCGCTTCACAACAACTATTTTCACCAGTGGTAGTGATGTGTTTTATGTGTTTGAAGATTTGTTAATGCGATATGTGACGTTTGGATTTAAATAACACTACTGAGCCTCGCCTGTTTCAAAGAGCTGCAGCCACTACTGTTTCTCAATCTTATTGAAAATTGATCAAACATGCTCAAAAAAAGTAATAAAAATAATAAATTCAGAGTAAAAAGCTACAAAAAAGGCTTGATTTTGTTTTCATCTTTCAAAGGGACAATCCTCTAAATACATACACTATATTGCCAAAAGTATCTATCTTCCCACTTTTACATGTACATAAACTTTGATAACATCCTATTCTAAATCTCAGCCATTTTAAATATTTGGTAAACATATCCCACAATGTTTAGGGGAGGAGTTCATAGATGAGAAACACAAAGCTGCAGCATCCGCTCTAATTCATCCCAGAGGGGTTCAACGAGGTCAAGGTCAGGTTTCTTGACTCAAAACTGGATTCACATGCAGCCACAGGACTGTTGGGAATATCTAAATTCAATGATTTGGTGCTGTGACCCAATACTTTCTGCAGTATACCCTATATTTCAGCTTTAATGTACAAATTCTAATATAAATCCTATTTTTTAAGATTTAGCTTTAATTAGAAACTTAATCTCACCACTCCAAAGATGAACTCTTCATTTTTTTTTTTATTAAAAGCTTGAAATAATATGACATTTATGCTGTTGATGAACTTCAGAGCTGCATTGTGTTTCTTCTCTGCCATAGACTTACTTTGCTTGAACCTCCATTAAAACGGTGGCAAACTCAGGAGCACACAGCTGTTGTATGTACTCCAGCCCCTTCTTCTCATTATAGTACTTCCTCTGGATCGCAGTGATGGCTACACCCTGAGAAACAAGATCAATGCATGAAAACATTATTTCAACAGCAAATATTCTTATGAAGTTTAACCAGAAGGCATCTAGCAGACATCGATGTATGTTTATTTATTTAAAATATACTTAAGGAGAAGATTTTTCATGCATTCATACCGGATAATTCTCTGTGATTAGCTTAAAGAGTTTCGTCCCTTTTCCCTTTTCACTCGCTGTGTCTGGCATCAAGATTTCCACAGGCATCAAGATGTGAATCCTGGTTATAACCTTTGGGGGGGAAAAATGAGGAAAATAACAAAGCAAAAAAAGAGGCAACTATATTTAGGATTTGATGTTCTTCTTTTAGGTTTTATCATTCCCTGGAAAGAAATGAACAGGTTACCTTAGCATATGTCCCTGTGTCTGCAAACTGAGAAAGTACAAGCTCTGGACATTTTAAGTCAATGCAGGCCATGCCAATCTCTCCTCTGGCCAAACCTCGCCCTTCCACTATTGCTACTATCACAGAGGCTGCAGAGGTGGAGGAGGCAGACGAGCTGCTTGTTCCTGTCAAGAATGATCATTTGGGCTGAATAAAACAGTTACATCTCAGAACATATTTCAATCTGTAATGACGTAGTATGTCAACCAGTGGGGCCAGCAGAACCCGGGGTCCTCCTGAGCCTGGGTGTTCCTCCGGGGAAACGAACTGAACAGCTTTCAGAGGAGGAAGACACGAGGACTGATGAGGTTGTCCTTCCCAGCCTGATATCACTCTGGCTCTGACCTTCAACAACAAAGCTGAGTCAAAGACAACATTTATCAGGTGGTCCAACTCCTATTCTACCACTGACAGTCAGAATAAAACCAGACAATAGCATGTTTTATGGCGCCTAATTTGAGCTTCCATAAAAAGAAAATAATTCAATCTAAATTGATAGAATGGGGCACAGAGAGCATTCAAAGGACAACCAGCACTTTTCTGATTAATTACCAGAAGATTTTCCAGGTTCTAGCTGGGATAATCTTTCAATACCTATAAGTTAAGTAGTCCAAAAACCAGTCCTTGACAGTTATTGCAAAAAAAGAAGGAAGCTATTGCAAGCCTTGTTTCCATAAACCACGTAGGACACACAGTAAACACCAGCTGTTGGAGAACTGAAGAGCTCTGCAGTGACAGACTGCTGCATCTTAATCACACAAAAGAGCAGAGATATTTCCTCCCCAGCAGCCTTTATGCTTTATAAGCATCACCTAAGTGTTTGATTCTGATTTTTCACGGGTTTATTCATGGGTCGTGTGCGCTAACTACTGCGGCATCTGCACACCCCACTTCTTTTTTGTAAACCACGATTAGTTCTTATGTTGTGAATTTAACCTTTACTCACAGTTTTCTTATTTATCTTGTATATTTGTTCCCCTTGCGTGTTATCTGTATGCATGTGTTTATGTTTCACTTCCTGCTGAGATAAGTCCCCACTAGGGGACAATAGTTGCAATTTCTATTTCTACCATGTTCTTTTTGATTTAACCAAGATTGGAGTTGTTCCAAGAGAAATGTTTACAGTGGTAAAGTAAAAAAAAACAAAAACAAGAGAAGACAACAAAACCCCCCATAAATCATTTCAGATCGCCTTCAACAAACCATCTGATTAAAGAAACATGGCTTGGGTTGGTAGGTAGCATCATAGGGTGATCTCTACTGTTTTTTTCAAAGACAAAGCAGGGCAGAGTGGTTAGGAAGTTCACCTTCTAGCAGAACAAGGATAGTTTAGATCAAACAGACAATCTAGAATGTTTTGGCAAGGATTGAAAGCTGTATTTTATGGATTTTTTTCTACTCCGTCTGACTGAACTTGAACTGAAACTTAAGATATACTATATAAAGACTATAGATTACATTTGTCAGATTTGTATTTGTATATTGTTTTGACATCATTATTGTGAGTTCATAATATTGTGTTGACTATTAACTTAATACTGAAAACACCAGAAAAAGGTTGATAAAAACCACTGAGGTGAACTGTTTTAAGCTAACAGGCGGGGGAAAAGATCAAAGGGTATGGTCACTTTTTAAATGGACTGCAAGCTAGCTTTTTTGTACTTTTTTAAATTACCTGAGGTTATTCCGGATTGGGGTGGAGCACTGGTTGTAGCGGGAGTGTCAACCTCTGAACTGCGGTAACAGGGAGCAGAGGAGAGGGATGCGGGACAGCAGGATGAGGCGGTGGTTTCCTTTAAGCCTCTTCTTCCACAGGTTTGTCCCCATTCTGAGGTCTCACTGTCGGTTACCTCATCTGTGCTGCTCTGAAACATCTTGACTCTCACAGAGAAATTATAATAAAAAAGAATTTCTAACCTGCGTAGGTTTATATCAACGTATATTATTTAGACTTAAAAGGGTTGTAGTGTAATCCTTTGAAAATATTTCAATGAGCTAGCAAAAGTTAGCGTTTGACGATCACGATCCGTTCTGCGCATGCGCCGTCAGCTCATTTACGCATGCGCATCCTGTTTCACATTCGGATCGTCCTTGATTTTATTTTGTTAAAAATACCTAAATTACGTTTTCTTTCCAAAAAAATAGTAAACATACTAAAATATAACGTGTTAGCGGTTAATAACGTATTTCCTGATAAACTTTTCCTGATTTAAACATAAATCTAGTCTTTTTGAGTTTTATTTTTTCATTTTCGCCTTATGCCATATAGTGCGTAATCTAAGGAAAGAAAGAACTAAAATGCAGATAAACATGGTTTAATCAGATTTTGCCGAACTGCTCTTAGCATGTCTAATGATGATGTCAGAGAAGCGGTTTACCGAAGAAAATTTAAAAAGCATATACATTGTCTCACAAAAGTCATAAAACATTTTTTAACAGATGCGTATTGGTATTCTTTAGTGAGTTAATAATAGAAATAAGTTGTTTTAGTACCATAGTTCCATTATTTATGGACAGCCTGCTGTTCCTGGGAAATTAGAATTTTATTTTGAAAGGTAATATGCTACATGTCTGGTTCCCTGTTCATATTATCTATAAATATTGTATAAAATTTAATCATTTTAAATGTACCGAGCTTAAAAAATAACATGAAAAAGAGGAATTCTAATTAAAAAACATTCAATTTTATGATTATTTCACGATAGGCCACAAAGAAAAATAATATTAGCGATTGCATCTGATTGTTTAACCTGACAACAGCCAGATGCGGAGCGAGACATGCATCTGGCTGTTGTCAGGTTACTGATTGTTATCCTGGATTAGCCATATTTTCGTGAAGAATACCGTTAATTTCAACCTAAACGTCGACTTCAAATCCCCTAAATGTTGTCCACTCAGTCTTATTCTGAAAAACAAAGTCATACCGGAAGTTCTTTCCTAGCAGTGAAACGATTCTTAGCCAACATGGCGGCACAAACAGACGACAGCAAGTATTTTGTGAGAGAAATTGAAAAGAATGACGGCTGCGTCTTAAGAATGAAGCAGTGCTATATGGGAGACGTTGGCTGCGTGGTCTGGGATGCTGCAATCGTTCTCGCTAAATATTTAGAAACTAAACAGTTTTATGAGCCGTCGACAGGTGTCAACATGTGGTGTGGAAGGACTGTGGTGGAGTTAGGAGCTGGGACAGGAGTCGTTGGTTTGATGGCAGCAACACTGGGGTGAGAATTTAGATTGAAACCTCACCTCATTTTTATCACACCACTCCTTTAATCTGTCTGACTCTCTTTGGATCTCCATTTATATATATGTTTGTTTTTTGTCTTAACAGTGCTCAAGTCATAGTTACAGACTTGGAAGATTTACAGACCCTCCTGAGTGCAAATATTCAAGAAAACCAGCCACTCATCAAAAGTGGATCCATATCTGCCAAGGTACTAAAATGGTTTGTAGCTCTGTTTAATATTGCAATGAAATATGTTGTTCACAAGCTGCATATTTGCTATACCTTAACCCTCTTTCTTTTCCTTCCAAGGGGTGAAGATGTGTCTGAGTTATTGCCTCATCCACATTACATTCTTATGGCAGACTGCATATATTATGAGCAGGTACTGTACACATTTTCTACTAATCACTCTTTAAAGAATGTGAAAAGACATAGAATCCTTCATATTCTCACAGACTGCCACTCTGGTTCCCTGAGCAAAAAGACCCTTAAACTCACACTGCTCCCCTGGCGCTGCACAATGGCAGCCCACTGCTCCCCAAGGGGATGGGTTAAATGCAGAGAGTTTTTTGTAAAATAAAATCATACAGTGCAATGTCAATAAAAGCTGAAAAAAACTCTTAAAACATTTACTTTTATTATGTTTACATATTATTACCTTAAATCTACACATCTCACCTACTTTGAGTGTCCAGATTTCTGGGATTAGAGAACGTTTGTTTGATAATTTTTAACATGTAATTGATTGTTTATTATGACAAGCCTATTCACCTTGCAGCTGAGCTGTAACTAACCGCACAGCCAGAAGTAAAATCCGATGGTTTAGATTAGAAATGGATCAATACATAGACTGGCCCACATTGGTGGTATGAGCGTTCATCATCCGATTCATTTGTGCATTCAGCAGCCGTGTGTTAAGATGATGTGAAGTGCATTCATTGCTGCTACCACCACTACTGAGGCTTCAGTCTGCTCATCAAACAATGTTTTATTCATATAAAAAGGCTATTTTAAGTTATGATCTTATTTTCTAAAAGAAAATGAGTGTTGTGTAGTATCAAAATATTTCCAAAACATGTAGGACTATATCCTGAATTTAAGAAAATTACATAATTATATTTTAACAATTTATTGTACCAGCTGTTATTAACTGCAGACTGAATAACAGCAATATGTTTTCTTGCACATCGTTAAACTTAAATATATTTATAAGATATAACGAAACAGGAACCTCATGGAGTGATGATGTTTTTCAGCACCTGGAGGTCAATTCTCTTAAGCATGTTCGAAATCAAATGCGAATTAATAACCCACCTGTCGTTCTCGTGGGATGTTGGAGTCAGTTTTTGTTTGTGTCTCTGAGCTTTGGGTTAGGCCATTTGAATCATAATGTTCCAGGACAGAGTCATTTATCCTTGGAAGCAGAAACATCAATCCTTCCCCTCTGTTTAGTGATTGCATTTCTGCTAGTTTGTTAGGGCGACTGAAGGCTCAATTTGGACAACCTCATGCTTTGAGTGATTTTCTGACATGTTTTTGCTCTTTTTGCTTCTCCTCTGTAACTAAGGGAAGATTTTCATCCTGGTCATTCAGTTGTGATAACAGAAAGTTTGTGTTGCAGTGGACTCGCATCACCTAGATATCTAGTTTAGATAAAATAATATTCATGTGTTATAAAATTACCCAGAACAAATGTAGGCCTAAATCCATTTAATTAAACACCTAAAAATCCATGTTCATATATTATCAGTCGAATCTCAGAGGTTGTGAATACTTTATTCTAATTTGAGACAGCAAAAAGTATTTTTCCATTATATTTCTCATTTCATTTTTTAATGGGGCATTTCTACACAGTCTATTAGTCCGCTGGTGGAGACCTTGAAGCAGCTTTCTGGACCAGAAACCTCCATTATCTGTTGCTATGAGCAACGCACCGAGGGCGTTAATCCAGAAGTGGAGAGGAGGTTTTTTGAGGTATGAATAGAAACATTGGCTTAAAACATCCTTTTTACTGCTATTTACCACCTCACTTTTTTTCCCCCACAGTTGCTGCAACAAGATTTCACTTGTGAAAAGATCCCTTCAGACAAACAGGACCCAGAGTTTAGCAGCCCTGACATCCACATTCTGCATATTCAAAGAAAACACTGATCTTCTCGCATGACGTTTGCAGTGCTATTTAGATTTGTACCAGTTATAGAAAAGAAAAAAACGGACTATGACTCACAACAACCTTAAAGCCTACAGTCTGTGACTTTTTTATCTTTTTATATTTGTAGAAAATAATTGGGTTTTTATGGAATAAAAATGTAATATTCTGAAAATCAGTTTTGCTCCAAGATTCTTCCTTGAAATATTATCATGATGGAAATAAAAGGCTTTTTGTTTTTATAACAGGCATTACGTTTAATGAACACCAGGGGGCGATAAGTACTGAACACCAGAAACCTTTCTGGTCAAGATTATATTGTCATATAACCCAAACCATGTTAATAATCAGCATACAAATAATGATAAAGAAAACAAATATAAAGAAAACATATATGACACATTAAGTAAATAAGAAATAAGCCTAGAAGTTAGAATGGTTTAGAAAAGCAAAGTGAAAACAATATGCTAGTTTTTGCCCCCATATGAGAGGAATTCCATTCAGAGCTCCAGATTAAGAAGATTATGGCTCCTATTCAAGTAAAAAAACCATGAAGTACGCCGCACACGCTCTCACAGGCATGCAGGGGCCCCAGACAGCCTTTCTTGCTTTGTTTACACAGTAGGAACTGTAGCATAAAGAACATGGGTGGCCGTCTGTGTCCTGGCTAAATAAAATCATATGGATGTAGTTGACAGATTGAGATTTAAGTCTGAATAGATGCACAAATTGCACTTTAAGTTACCTCCATGTCTAAGCAACAATTATGGTGCATAGAATACATTTTTTTTTTTTTTTTTACAAGGATTTAACGTCAATGTCCTCCAGTTTCAAATGTCAGTCTGTTTAGTTTTATTTAATAACACTGGTCCATCTCAAAGACTTAGAATTGCACCAAAAAGGTAGTTTATTTTAGAAATTGGGCTCAAAAAGGGAAACTGGCCGCTGAAAATCTAAAGTTACATCTCTTGGAAACTTGCTTCAGAACAATAAATGGATATTTGTCACAAAAATGTCTTAAAAGTGTTACAATTTCTATCAGTCTAATTGAGATGTTTAAAAACCTGAGAAACTGACTATTGTTGGAATTAATTTAGCAATTTTCTCCTTTTGGTTAGATGAGAGCATTTTTATATTTGCAAATATGATTAAATGCAGTTACTGTGCAAATCAGTGATGCAAATTAAATTTGTTTAACTGGTCCTGGAGAAGTTTATTTAAAGGAGGTATTTTATTTTTCATACCAGTTTGAGCTTCTGTGGAGATTTAATTACTTTAACACCCAGCTACATAGTTAAAAAAATAGGTCTAGAAATTTACATGGTGCTTATCATCCCTTTTATTGCCACAGTTAAACTAATAGAATATGATTTTATATAAAAAGTTCACAGTGCCCATCATTATCAAATGGAGCATTTTAAAGACAATGGTGTGTTGTGGGCTATACTTTATACAATCAGCAGGAAGACTCCTCCAAATCAGATGCAGACTGAAGCTGGAGTCCTTGTTTTAGGAGATAAACAATAACTGTCATATTTCTAGTGTTAAAGAGGGCTAAGTAGAAAAGAGCCTGGAATTTAGCTCAGTCGTCTAAAATCAGATTAAATTTTCCACAGTCTGATGATTTAGGGAGCAATCTGCTGTTATTTGTCAAATCAGAGTTCATTGCAGTCGTCTTATGGAAAATCTTTAGAGCACTTTGTTCCTTCTGCTGACAGGTCAGTTTTAATTCAGTTTGCTCACATCACACACTTTCACAAAGGTTGTCTCAAGGCCCTTTACAAATAAACAATTCTATTTTTTTTTTATAGTTCTTTTAATCCAAATACAAAATTTTAAGGTTCAGTTTAAAATGCTAGTTCATTGAGAAAAATTGAAAAAAGCTTTAAGCTTAATTTAATTTCTGTGAGGACTTGGTATGTGGCCACACTAAAATGACCAGTAGGCCTTCTGGCCTAGATAGCCTATCTATACTAGATCCTCCAACCCGCCATGCAGCACCTATGTAGAAAGATATGCAAAAGTACCCAAGAGCAGATACTGGTCACCCTTTTCAGTAGCCTGGAATCTAACTGCATTGGCTCCCTACAGGAGTTTTCAATTTTATGTTGGGTTTGTGAAGATAGTATCATTTATTTGCATGCAGCTGAATATCAACCCAAAAGAAATTATATATATATATATATATATGACAAATGGAGTGATTATTACACAAAACATCCAAACTAAAAATAAAAGATTTCCTTATGGTTAAAAGGTTGTTTGTGGTTCCATTAAAAAAAGGTATCTGTAAGAAATGGGGCAGTATCTCTAAAGTCAGTCAGGCTTTCTAAGAGAGGAAATGTTTTACCTACTTAATAAATGGATTGAAATTAGTTTTGATATGAAATTGATTTGTTTTATCATTTTTTTTTTCTATAACTAGAATTACTGGTGCCTATTTCCAGCAGTCAATGGGCGAGAGGCAGGGTACACCCTGGACAGGTCGCCAGTCCATCGCAGGGCAACACAGAGACACACAACCATTCATGCACACACTCACACCTAAGGGGACTGTAGAGAAGCCAGTTAACCTAACAGTCATGTTTTTGGACTGTGGGAGGAAGCCGGAGTACCCTGAGAGATCCCACACATGCTCAGGGAGAACATGCAAACTCCATGCAGAAAGACCCCAGGCCGGGAATCGAACCCAGAACCTTCAAGGCAGCAGTGCTACCCACCGTGGCACTGAGCAGCCCCATTTTTTTTTTTATTGTAGATAAAACTATAATATCTCCTTCCAAACCTCCCCTGACCTTTAATTTTTCCCACTTGGATTGTAATCTAAATTATTTTTTTCTGATTTTTTTTTTTTGCCTTACATCAGCTAATAAATTTGAATCAGAGCTGGTATTAAGTTCCCCAGTGTGGTCAAGGTCCCAAACAGACAACAGAGAGATACGAGTAAACACAAACTGCTTTTTTATCCATCTAAATGTTTCCAAAACAGGACAAATAACTTGGACCTTTAACCTTTTAAATAACTAAGAATAACTGAAACAGCAAAAATAGCATCTTGAAATGAGTTAATTAGGCTTGCACCAGGTGGGAACAGAGAAAACCGAACTATAAATGAGGACAATCCACGGAGAAGCACAGGTGCTTCTGTTATCATGCACACATAACAGTGGATCATAGCCAACATAACACTGTTGTTTTATAGGTCTTTCTTGCAAAGAGACATAATGGGGCCATTTCACATGAACATATGGAGCTGATAGGTTCTCTTTTTTAGAGTACCATTTTTTTTGTCTAAAACAATTGAAGCTGCTCTAAGTAAAAGAAATGGCATTTTCCCATGATGAACCTGTGTATCCTAAATACTCAGAGCAAGCCTTATCACTCTGTATGGCGTGCTCCACTCTGCTGCATCACAGCCAAGCGACACAGTGGATCCTTTGTGTCACCATCATCATCATCATCACGCTGCCTGGAGCCAAGAGACACTGCTCCAGAAAAGGAAGACTCATTTTCTCGCAAACTTCTTAGGGAGTGGCTCAAGAATAGAAATCAAACTGGGCTGTTTAAAAATAGAAGGGCTGCATAAATGGTTGACTCTTCTGATCCTGCAGAGGTGCCCAAGCATTTCTCTCTGCACACACTGACAGATTCCATTTCTATCTCTAACATCGCTAAGTGAGTTCACTGAACTTGAGGCTGCACAAACAGACAACAGAGCTCACTTTTTAAAGCAGAGCATGTGATTCCTTTTGCTTTCAGCATGCTTTCAAACCCCCTTTTCAAGCATTTATCCTAAATTTCAGGCAGTTTTCCAGCATGAAATGGGGATATTTTACTGTAAAGTAACTGTTTTTTTTTTTGTTAGAGGGAAATTTCTGCTTCCCTCCTCTCTTTTTCTCTCTGTTAGTGTTGTTGGGACAGCTGTGCTGCAGTTAGGAGGGGGGAAAATCCTGCACTGTAAGGATATTGTTCAACCATTTCCAGACAATTAATACTACAGGATCATGTTTGGTTTCATCATATTTGTTTATGGTGTTTTAGGAATTTAAACCGGTGTAAATACAAAACATTTAAATGAGTCATTTCTGATGTTGTCTGATTGTTAAGCATAAGTGAGCAACAGGATCCAACTTGCCATAGATCAAGTAAAATTTGTAGCTTAACCCAGATGCATCGTCACAACACTGACTCTGCATGCAGGAGAACTGATCGAAGGAAGTGGTTGAGGTTGCATCACATGGATCATCAGTCAGTATGCGAGAGCTGCTGTGTGTAGCTGAGGCTTTTTGAATGACTTGTGCCTTTGCTGCTGAGTGTGATGATAACATCGCCCTCCCTTGTTTCTTGAAAACATACTTCATGACAGAGATCGGTAATCTGTGTTGTCTGAACAGGCACTGGCCAGTTTTATTTCCAGATTCTCACAAAGAAGTCAAAACAGATTTTTTTTTTGTCTTCTGAAACAGATGCCGTTGTGAAGAGTCAGGGGAAACTGCAGGCTGCAGCGCTATTAATCATGCCTACTCATCCTCTGCTCAAAATAAAGCCTTGCTCTCACCTGAAAGTCAGCGACAGGCCCTTTGGAATTCCTGGTGTGATTGCAGGGACAAACTGGTTTAAACCTTTAAATCTGTGCTTAACATGAGAAAATCCTCAGATATTCTCACGAGGATATCTAAGAAATTTAATGGCACTTAAGCCAATGATTATAGCCAAGGTAAATATAATTTGTAGCGTGTAGAGTGCACTTTAAGCTTCTGTGAGCACTTTATATATCAGGTTACACACAGATCGAAAATGTCAGCCGGGCTTCCAATAGTTCATAATTTTACCACAGTAAGTAACCTTCAGCGGCAGATATGAATGGAATGTGTTTTTGGACAACTGCCCGGTGTACCTTGGACTTCACAGTCCTCACATTTTCAGCCTTATTAGGCATGCCTATGCTACAGCAAGGCTCATATTCTGTCAGTTTTGGAGAAAAACAAAAAATACTATTTTATGAAAAGCTCTTTTTTTGAATCTTAGACTACAATAACAATATAAAGTTAAAGCAGATCATCAGCGGAGCTTTGCAAAAGTATTCACACCATTTTTACATATGCTTTGGTCAACTCAAAGTGGTGCAAAGGAAGCAAATATATAGTGCGTCTAGTTAAAGACAAAATAATGAATGCGTTTTAATTCTAATTAAATCTCTATTATTGGCATTTTGTTGGCAGCTTTGCAAATCTTAA